TTTTTTGCTTTTCACCCCCGTATTTTTTGTTGATTAAATCTTTTTTGAAGAAGGGCTGCATGCATAAGGGGGCGGGCTGCATGCATAAGGGGACGGGGCTGGGCATGCATAAGGGGGGCGGGGCTGCATTGTGCCATTAAGGGGGACGGGGCCTAGAATGCATAAGGGGAGGGACGGGGCGCTGCCATTCAATAAGGGGGGGGGGCGGGCGTGGTTTCTTTGACCACTCACAGGTTTTGATGTCTGGTTTTGTTATTGATGTCTGAGGTGGGTAGTACGAGATCTTTATTTCCCCCAAATCTAATGTCATGTTCATTTCTAGACACGTTTGTTACCTTTTTGTCTGACAGCAGATTTTGCTATGTATATTTTCGTTTTGCTGTAAATATATAATTTTTTGATATTCTGTATAATATTTTATGCGTTTATTGATTGCGAGACTTTTAATAAAGAAAAATTCTGGAAGAATGTCCCTTATATTTGGGGTCAGTGGAAGAATGTCCCTTACATTGGGGGGTCAGTGGGAAAGAATGTCCCTTAAATTGGGGGTCAGTGGGGAAGAATGGTCCCTTACATTTGGGGGTCTCAGTGGAAAGAATTCTGTCCCTACTACATCTGGTGTGCGTCAATGGAAAAGAATGTCCCTTACATTGGGGCGTTCCAGTGGGAAGAATGGTCCCTTACATTGGGGAGCATTGGGAAGAATGTCCCTTACATTGGGGGTCTGTGGGAAAAATGTCCCTTACATTGGGGGGTCAGTGGGCAAGAATGTCCCTTACATTGGGGTATCAGTGGGAAGAATGTCCCTTACATTGGGGGTCAGTGGGAAGAATGTCCCTTACATTGGGGGTCAGTGGAAGAATGCCCCTTACATTGGGGGTCAGAGTGGGAAGAATGTCCCCCCTTATCAGACAATGTAAAAGATCATTGTTTCATGCTCTACTAAGTGGAGTTGGTGCTGCAACTATGGTGTTGGCCCCATCAGAGGGGGGGGGGGGGGGTCATCCACAGCTCGATTAATTCCCCCCAGCACCCTCTGGAGAAACTTGGGGTTCAGTGGAAGGCGCGTTGATAATGTCTGGACCGGAGTCTGTGAATCCACTGAAGTGCTATGAATGGGATTGGATGATGAATGGGGATCAGTCGATGTTGGATGTGGAGCCCGGCTAGAATACGGTATATACTGCAGACTGTGACGGGTTTCGGGGCGACAATAAATGAATGAAATGGGGATTGTTATCTCTGCCAGCGATTGGTGATAGTCTGAGGGGTCCGAGTTCCATATTCACATAATGCAGAATATTGCCAAAGGAATAGAAGACGTACCCCCCCCCCGTCTACTACCCATACCCCCCCCGAAACCCCCCCCCCGTCTACTACCGATACCCCCCACCGTCTACGTACCACATTACCAATTACCCCCCCCGAAACCCCCCGTCTACTACCGATACCCCCCCGTCTACTACCGATACCCCCCCCGAAACCCCCCCCCGTCTACTACTGATCGATTTACCCCCCCCCAACATCTACTCTTACCGATGACCATCCCCCCTGTCCACTACCAATAACCCCCCCCCCTGTCCACTACTGATACCCCCCCCCCCGTCCGCTACCAATATTTCCCCCCCTTCCACTACCGATAACCCCCCCCCATGCAGTATGCTATATCTTTTAAGACCAACCTCACCTCCCCCATCCACTACCAATAACTCCCCCCCATCCACTACCAATAACTCCCCCCCCCCCCCCCATCATCCACTACCAATAACTCCCCCCCCATCCACTACCAATAACTCCCTCCCCCTCCACCACCATAACTCCCCCCCATCCACTACCAATAAACTCCCCCCCCCATTCACTACCAATAACTCCCCCCCATCCCATTACCAATAACTCCCCCCCCCCCATCCACTACCAATAACTCCCCCCCCCCCTGTCCATTACCAATAACCTCCCTTGTCCACTACCAATATTCCCTCCACCAGCAGTATTTGCTCCATCTAAGGCCCCGCCCCCACCAATGTATTCTCTACCCATCATTACTGTTATAAAGGTTGTGAGAAGCACAATGGGGCTCAGGGTGAGATTTCTGCTGCTGCTCCTAATTTTGAGATATGAATTGTGTGCCGGAAATAATTCCACCAACAACTGTCCAGTACAACCACCTCCCCTCATCTCTGTGTATTGCAGGGCGGAGCTTCACCTTTTATACATAGAGAACAACAGAGTCCATGTCACTATTACAGTCACATTCTCTGCACCCCCAGTGGGGAGATTCCCCCCTCTCTGCGCCACCCGGTGGGGAGATTCGCCCTCTCTGCGCCACCCGGTGGGGAGATTCCCCCCTCTCTGCGCCCCCCGGTGGGGAGATTCGCCCTCTCTGCACCCCCCAGTGGGGAGATTCGCCCTCTCTGCGCCACCCGGTGGGGAGATTCCCCCCTCTCTGCGCCCCCCGGTGGGGAGATTCCCCTCCCTCTCTGCGCCCCCCGGTGGGGAGATTCCCCCCTCTCTGCGCCCCCCGGTGGGGAGATTCCCCCTCTCTCTGCGCCCCCCGGTGGGGAGATTCCCCCTTTCTGCGCCCCCCGGTGGGGAGATTTCCCCCTCTCTGCGCCCCCCGGTGGGGAGATTCCCCCTCTCTGCCCACCCTCTCTATTTGTCTTGTTTACCATTATCACTGAAAGTGAAAGATGGGACAGAAAGTGAAGATAAATCTCCCCAATGGGGACACAGATGGCAAATAAAAAGCCTGAGGGGTTATAACCCCCCTCCCCCCTCCCCCACACACACTGGGCATTTATATCCGGTGGGGGAGACCCCGCTGTGTATGTGGGGGAGGAGGACACATGTGCACCATCCAGCCCCGCTACTGGGTGACAAGTGCTGCAGCTGGACGGCAGACTGAGCGCTCCCAATGCCCAGAATGTAGACTTCCTGTGTCCCCGGTAGGGGAATGTAGGCTTCCTGTGTCCCCGGTAGGGGAATGTAGGCTTCCTGTGTCCCCGGAAGGGGAATGTAGACTTCCTGTGTCCCCGGTAGGGGAATGTAGACTTCCTATGTCCCCGGTAGGGGAATGTAGACTTCCTGTGTCCCCAGTAGGGGAATGTAGACTTCCTGTGTCCCCGTTAGGGGAATGTAGACTTCCTGTGTCCCCAGTAGGGGAATGTAGGCTTCCTGTGTCCCCGTTAGGGGAATGTAGACTTCCTGTGTCCCCAGTAGGGGAATGTAGGCTTCCTGTGTCCCCGTTAGGGGAATGTAGACTTCCTGTGTCCCCGGTAGGGGAATGTAGACTTCCTGTGTCCCCGGTAGGGGAATGTAGACTTCCTGTGTCCCCGGTAGGGGAATGTAGATTTCCTGTGTCCCCGGTAGGGGAATGTAGACTTCCTGTGTCCCCAGTAGGGGATTGTAGGCTTCGTGTGTCCCCGCCATTTATCCTGGAGCCCATACTGAACATTGGGAGCGCTAAGTCCGCCGTCCAGCTGCAGCACTTGTCACCCTCTCATAGAGTTCTACAGGTACCCAGTAGCGGGGCTGGACGGTGCACATGTGTCTTCCTCCCCCACCTACGGGCCGGGTCTCGCCCTATGGGCTGGGGTCTCGCCCGACGCGTCGGGTCATACAAGCCATTGACCTAACTCTCCGGCCTCTAAGTGATTGGGGCCCCCGAAGCCTCCATTGCAGGCTCCGCCCTCTCACATCTGTAATTGGTAAACAGCTGGAAGGCTTCTCTACTGCCACATCCCTATGCAGGGGGAGGGGATCGGAGGAGCTCAGTCCAGACTCTTCTAGAGACGAGTTGCTGCAAGTCGTCTCCAGGATGAACCTCGGCTGTGTGCTGCTCCTGGTGCCTCTGATCCAGGTGATGGGGGGGATGACTGCTGATACTGTCATCATACTGCATTGCCGGTGTCACTGGGGGGTCTGATATGGAGCGAGATACCAAATGGCCAGTGTCACTGGGGGGGTGGAAGTTCTGCTGATATGGAGCGAGAATCTCCCTACTGGGGACACAGAGGGGGGGAATCTCCCTACCGGGGACACAGAGGGGGGGGAATCTCCCTACCGGGGACACAGAGGGGGGGAATCTCCCTACCGGGGACACAGAGGGGGGGAATCTCCCTACCGGGGACACAGAGAGGGGGAATCTCCCTACCGGGGACACAGAGGGGGGGAATCCCTACCGGGGACACAGAGGGGGGGAATCTCCCTACCGGGGACACAGAGGGGGGGAATCTCCCTACCGGGGACACAGAGGGGGTAATCTCCCTACCGGGGACACAGAGAGGGGGAATCTCCCTACCGGGGACACAGAGAGGGGGTCTCACCCCTCCTCCTCCATTCAACATTACAGAAAAGGTTTGCCTGACATATGAATGAATGTGAGGAGTGCGCCTCCCTCTGGGCTCTCTGGGTAATACACTGCAAGTCCACTCAGACTATAATCCATAGGGAGCCGGGCAATGCAGATCCTTTTTCTGTTCTGTCCCCGGTAGGGAGATTCCCCCCTCTGTGTCCCCGGTAGGGAGATTCCCTCCTCTGTGTCCCCGGTAGGGAGATTCCCTCCTCTGTGTCCCCGGTAGGGAGATTCCCTCCTCTGTGTCCCCGGTAGAGAGATTTCCCCTTTAACTTGTTTATTATGTAACTTGGTTTCTCTCTCTGCAGTTCCCTCCTGTTTAGTGCTAGTTAGTTCAGTTGTAGCTAGCCCCTCCCCACTTCTTCCATGTTCCCTCAGTGTTGGTGCTGTGAAGGGCGGGGCTCCGCCTGGATGAAACTGCGTTAGTTGTAAAGGCTGAAGGCGCATTCTATGCAGGAAGGTGAACATCCTCCTGTGTGCCCCCCCCCCGCCCCCCAATACTTACCTGAGCCTCATCCCAATCCTCCTGTGTGCCCCCCCGCCCCCCAATACTTACCTGAGCCTCATCCCAATCCTCCTGTGTGCCCCCCCCAATACTTACCTGAGCCTCATCCCAATCCTCCTGTGTGCCCCCCAATACTTACCTGAGCCCCATCCCCAATCCTCCTGTGTGCCCCCCAATACTTACCTGAGCCCCATCCCCAATCCTCCTGTGTGCCCCCCAATACTTACCTGAGCCTCATACCAATCCTCCTGTGTGCCCCCCAATACTTACCTGAGCCTCATCCCCAATCCTCCTGTGTGCCCCCCAATACTTACCTGAGCCTCATCCCAATCCTCCTGTGTGCCCCCCAATACTTACCTGAGCCCCATCCCCAATCCTCCTGTGTGCCCCCCAATACTTACCTGAGCCCCATCCCCAATCCTCCTGTGTGCCCCCCAATACTTACCTGAGCCTCATACCAATCCTCCTGTGTGCCCCCCAATACTTACCTGAGCCTCATCCCAATCCTCCTGTGTGCCCCCCAATACTTACCTGAGCCTCATCCCAATCCTCCTGTGTGCCCCCCCGCCGCCCCCCAATACTTACCTGAGCCCCATCCCAATCCTCCTGTGTGCCCCCGCCCCCCAATACTTACCTGAGCCCCATCCCCAATCCTTCTGTGTGTCCCCCAATACTTACCTGAGCCTCAACCCAATCCTCCTGTGTGCCCCCCAATACTTACCTGAGCCTCATCCCAATCCTCCTGTGTGCCCCCCAATACTTACCTGAGCCTCATCCCAATCCTCCTGTGTGCCCCCCCGCCCCCCAATACTTACCTGAGCCTCATCCCACCTGTGTGCCCCCCCCCGCCCCCCAATACTTACTGAGCCTCATCCCAATCCTCCTGTGTGCCCCCCATACCCTGAGCCTCATCCCAATCCTCCTGTGTGCCCCCGCCCCCCAATACTTACCTGAGCCTCATCCCAATCCTCCTGTGTGCCCCCGCCCCCCAATACTTACCTGAGCCTCATCCCAATCCTCCTGTGTGCCCCCCAATACTTACCTGAGCCTCATCCCAATCCTCCTGTGTGCCCCCCAATACTTACCTGAGCCCCATCCCCAATCCTCCTGTGTGCCCCCCAATACTTACCTGAGCCCCATCCCCAATCCTCCTGTGTGCCCCCCAATACTTACCTGAGCCCCATCCCCAATCCTCCTGTGTGCCCCCCAATACTTACCTGAGCCTCATACCAATCCTCCTGTGTGCCCCCCAATACTTACCTGAGCCTCATCCCAATCCTCCTGTGTGCCCCCTGCCCCCCAATACTTACCTGAGCCCCATCCCAATCCTCCTGTGTGCTCTCTGCCCCCCAATACTTACCTGAGCCCCATCCCCAATCCTCCTGTGTGCCCCCGCCCCCCAATACTTACCTGAGCCCCATCCCGATCCAACAGTGTGCACAGCAGACTTGGCTGCCCCGGGTCTCTGCCTCCTCATTGGCTGAGATAGCAAGCAGGAGCCATTGGTTCCCGCTGCTGTCAATCACAGCCAGTCAGCCAATGAGGAGAGAGAGGAGGTGGGGCCGAGCTGTGGCTCTGTGTGTGTGTGCCTGCTGTGGGGGAGGGTGTGTGGGACCCGAGAAGAGGAGGATCTGGGCTGCCATCACACACAGCAGGTAAGTACAGACATACAAGAAGCTGAAGAGTGAAGCTGCCTGTGGATGGTGCCGAGTCGGCAGGTGACTATACTGTCTGCACAGACTGGGTCTAAGGAGGTCAATGCGTGGAGTGTCCTCTGAAACAGAACAGCTTGTCCTATGAGAAGTCCATGCCTTGTGTAATATGGGGGTGTTCAGTGCTCTGACTTTCCCCATTTTATTGGCCCCTGTAGGTGTGCTGCGGGGCCACAGAGGAGCCGTGTGAGCCGGGATTCAGTGAGCAGCGGTATGCTTTCACCACGACCCGCAAGGTTCTGGAAAGAGGACGAGTCCTGGGCAAAGGTGAGAGGCACACATCGAATCCCACTGCAGGACCGAGGACCGGTGTCAGACACGTGCGCTTCCTCCCACTGACACCAATGATGGGGCACTATTCCTCCCACTGACACCAATGATGGGGCACTATTCCTCCCACTGACACCAATGATGGGGCACTATTCCTCCCACTGACACCAATGATGGGGCACTATTCCTCCCACTGACACCAATGATGGGACACCATTCCTCCCACTGACACCAATGATGGGACACCATTCCTCCCACTGACACCAATGATGGGGCACATTCCTCCCACTGACACCAATGATGGGCACCATTCCTCCCACTGACACCAATGATGGGGCACTATTCCTCCCACTGACACCAATGATGGGGCACTATTCCTCCCACTGACACCAATGATGGGGCACTATTCCTCCCACTGACACCAATGATGGGGCACTATTCCTCCCACTGACACCAATGATGGGGCACTATTCCTCCCACTGACACCAATGATGGGGCACTATTCCTCCCACTGACACCAATGATGGGGCACTATTCCTCCCACTGACACCAATGATGGGACACTATTCCTCCCACTGACACCAATGATGGGGCACTATTCCTCCCACTGACACCAATGATGGGACACTATTCCTCCCACTGACACCAATGATGGGGCACTATTCCTCCCACTGACACCAATGATGGGACACCATTCCTCCCACTGACACCAATGATGGGGACACCATTCCTCCCACTGACACCAATGATGGGGCACTATTCCTCCCACTGACACCAATGATGGGGCACCATTCCTCCCACTGACACCAATGATGGGCACTATTCCTCCCACTGACACCAATGATGGGGCACTATTCCTCCCACTGACACCAATGATGGGGCACTATTCCTCCCACTGACACCAATGATGGGGCACTTCCTCCCACTGACACCAATGATGGGGCACTATTCCTCCCACTGACACCAATGATGGGGCACTATTCCTCCCACTGACACCAATGATGGGGCACTATTCCTCCCACTGACACCAATGATGGGGCACTATTCCTCCCACTGACACCAATGATGGGGCACTATTCCTCCCACTGACACCAATGATGGGGCACTATTCCTCCCACTGACACCAATGATGGGGCACTATTCCTCCCACACCAATGATGGGGCACTATTTCCTCCAACACCAATGATGGGGCACTATTCCTCCCAGTGACACCAATGATGGGGCACTATTCCTCCCACTGACACCAATGATGGGGCACTATTCCTCCCACTGACACCAATGATGGGGCACTATTCCCTCCCACTGACACCAATGATGGGCACTATTCCTCCCAGTGACACCAATGATGGGGGACTACTCCTCCCACTGCTAAGGACACAGCTGACAGCTGACGAGTCATCCGTTGCTAAGGATGCGGCGGCCAGACGATGGCGCTAGAGAAGCCGCAAATACGAAGAATGTTGGGAATCCCCTTTAGGCCGACATCTGGTGGAACGCAGGATTTGTGGGGGGATTCCGGAACACACGTTATATATAATGTACATGGAGGAAATGTCCTGAAAATCCGGTGTCACAATGGTGTCACTCCACGGTGCTTGCTGTGTGTTGGCATTGGGGTGGGGAGAAGAATGTGTTTGACACCATCATCCACCACCGTCCTGCACCACCACCATCATCCACGACCACCATCATCCACCACCACCATCATCCACCACCACCATCATCCACCACCACCATCCATCCACCACCACCATCATCCACCACCACCATCATCCACCACCACCATCATCCACACCACCATCATCCACCACCACCATCATCCACCACCTCCATCCATCCACCACCACACCTGCACCACCACCACCATCATCACCACCACCATCCACCACCACCATTTTCATCCAACCACCATCCCCATCCACCACATCATCCACACACCACCATCATCCAACACCACCACATCCACCACCAATCCAACCACCACCATCATCCACCACCACCATCATCACCACACATCCACCACCACCACACATCATCCACCACCACCATCATCCACCACACATCCTTTCACCAACCACATCAAATCATCCACCACCACACATTTTTCATCCAAACCACACATTTTCATCCAACCACCACCATCATCCACCACCATTCCTCACAACCATTTTTCATCCACCACCACACATCCACCACCACACCATTTTCATCCCATCAACCACATCCAACACCACCAATCATCCCAACCAAACCATCATCCACCATCATCCACCACCACAACACACATCCCCATCATCCACCACACAACCCACACCAAATCCACCACCACCATCATCCACCTCCACCATTTCATCCAACCACCACCATCATCCACCAAAACCATCATCCACCTCCAACATCATCCACCACCACCATCATCCACCCACCACCATCCACCCACCACCATCCACCACCATCATCACCACCACCCACCAACATTTCCATCACCAACACACAAACCTGCACCACCATCATCCACCACCACCCCTGCACCACCACTACATCATCCACCACCATCCTGCACCACCACCATCATCCACCACCACCTGCACCATCATCCACCACCACCACCAAACCACCACCACATCCACCACCATCCCACCACACCATCCACCACCAACCCACCACACCCACCCACCATCAATCACCCCCACCACCACCAAAAAACACCACACACCCCCTGCACCACCCACCATCACACAACACCACCCCACCACCATCATCCATCCCACCACCCATCCTGCACCCACCACCCACACAACAAACCACCACCACCACCCCCACCATCAACCACCACCACCACACCAAACATACACCAACCACCACCACATCCAACCACCACCATCATCCACCCACCATCCTGCACCACCATCATCCACCACCGTCACCATCATCCACCACCCGTCCTGCACCACCACCCCATCATACACCACCACCACACAATCATCCACCCCATCGATGGATAAATCCTGGGGTGCTCTGGGGTGACACTGCAGCATGTGGGGTCCTGCATCTTCTCCCGCACCTCTCATGGTCCCATATCCCCAGTGCAGGGACCGGCCTCACAGAGAGGAAACCTATCCTCCTACAACGTTGTACCTGTTTACCTACAGTTGTCTGTCCCCTACATCCAGGGCCGGGACAAGGGGTAGGCAAGAGGGACAGCTGCCCTGGGCGCCATGGTGATTTGGGGGGAATTTGAACTAGGGGGGTGGATTTTTTGTTAGGAAGGGGATTTGGGGGGATTTGTACTGGAAGAGGGGGATTTGGAGGAGGGAGAGGATTTGGGCTAGAAGGGATTTATTCTCAGAGGGGATATTTGAGGGGTAGAGGATTTGGGCTGGGGGGGGGGGATTTGGGCTGGGAGGGAGAGGATTTGGGCTGGGAGGGAGAGGATTTGGGCTGGGAGGGGGGATTTGGGGAGGGAGAGGATTTGGCTGGGAGGGGGGATTTGGGGAGGGAGAGGATTTGGGCTGGGAGGGGGGATTTGGGGAGGGAGAGGATTTGGGCTGGGAGGGGGGATTTGGGGAGGGAGAGGATTTGGGCTGGGAGGGGGGATTTGGGGAGGGAGAGGATTTGGGCTGGGAGGGGGGATTTGGGGAGGAGAGGATTTGGGCTGGGAGGGGGGATTTGGGGAGGGAGGGATTTGGGGAGGAGAGAGGATTTGGGCTGGGAGGGGGGATTTGGGGAGGGAGAGGATTTGGGCTGGGAGGGAGAGGATTTGGGCTGGGAGGGGGGATTTGGGGAGGGAGAGGATTTGGGCTGGGAGGGGGGATTTGGGGAGGGAGAGGATTTGGGCTGGGAGGGGGGATTTGGGGAGGGAGAGGATTTGGGCTGGGAGGGGGGATTTGGAAAGGGAGGGATTTTGAGCTGGGAGGGGGGATTTGGGGAGGGAGAGGATTTGGGGAGGGAGAGGATTTGGGCTGGGAGGGGGGATTTGGGGAGGGAGAGGATTTGGGCTGGGAGGGGGGATTTGGGGAGGGAGAGGATTTGGGCTGGGAGGGGGGATTTGGGGAGGGAGAGGATTTGAGCTGGGAGGGGGGATTTGGGGAGGGAGAGGATTTGGGGAGGGAGAGGATTTGGGCTGGGAGGGGGGATTTGGTGAGGGAGAGGATTTGGGCTGGGAGGGGGGATTTGGGGAGGGAAAGGATTTGGGCTGGGAGGGGGGATTTGGGGAGGGAGAGAGGATTTGAGCTGGGAGGGGGGATTTGGGGAGGGAGAGGATTTGGGGAGGGAGAGGATTTGGGCTGGGAGGGGGGGGATTTGGGGAGGGAGAGGATTTGAGCTGGGAGGCGGGATTTTTATTTGGGGAGAATTTAGCTTGCAAAGGGAATTTATGCTTAGGGGGTAAGTGTGAAGATTAGTGCTCACATTTTTGGGGGGGAGGGATGGGATATTTTCTGACGCATAATGCCTATTTTTTTTTTGGGGGGGGGGGGGTCACCATTTGGTGCAGACTTTACCCAGGATCTCTAAGCTCTGAAAAGCAGGGGCGGGGAGCTGAAGTTACATCAGTGGGGAGAATTCTGGGAGCTGATTGGAGGGACACACACACACACACACACGAAAACAGTGGAGGCTGTCAATCACAGGCTGTGTGCTGGAGCTCCCTCCCCTGTCACCATTTATCTCTTGGTGTCAGGAAAACATGTCAGAATTGATTCATGCAGATAGCAGAGGAAGGAGGCAGCAGACAGAAATGACACTCGGTGCTCTGGACTGAGACAAGGACACACTACAGAGGGATGTGCTTTGTTCATATTTCATGTCTGAGGGTTACAATCACTTAACAGTCCAGTCACTCCGGGTGCAACTTGCCATTCCATGTGACTTGTAATTCGCATGCAAAGTCGCACCCTGTTGTCCGCAATTAAAGCGATGATATCGGTGCGATTCCGACTTGCAGATGTCTTGGAAGTCACATTGGTGTGACGGGGGGGGGGGGGGGGGGTAATGCATTTCATTGGATTCTTGCAGCTCCCCGTCACATGACGCCATCGATCTCTAAGAAGATATGAAGAATGTTCGTTGTATCTCCCTGCAGTGACGTTCAATCCTTGCTCCTCGGGGTCCCGGGCTCTCTACTCCCCGATGACACCCGGATCCGAGTCTTCCCGGATGGAAAGGTGTCAGTGAAGAGGCAGATCACCCTCCATGATGGATCCGTCACCTTCGTGCTGAACGCCTGGGTCAGCGCTGGGCAGAAATACTCCACGACGGTGTCTGTGAGAGGAACGAGAGGGAAGAGCAGGTACCCCGACCTTCGACCTGAGAGTTCACCATAGGGAATGCGGGGTCCGGGGATGTAGTGAATGCGGGGTCCGGGGAGAGCGGATGTAGTGAATGCGGGGTCCGGGGAGATATAGTGAATGCGGGGTCCATGTGTAGTGAATGCGGGGTCCGGGAGAGCGGATACAGTGAATGCGGGGGTCCGGGGAGAGCGGATATAGTGAATGCGGGGTCCGGGGAGAGCAGATATAGTGAGATGCGGGGTCCAGGGAGAGCGGATATAGTGAATGCGGGGTCCGGGGAGGGGGATACAGGGAATGCGGGGGTCGGGGTCCGGGGAGAGCGGATATAGTGAATGCGGGGTCCGGGAGAGGGGATACAGGGAATGCGGGGTCCGGGGAGAGCAGATATAGTGAATGCGGGGTCCGGGGGAGAGCGGATATAGTGAATGCGGGGTCCGGGGAGAGCGGATCCGGGGGGAGCGGATATAGTGAATGCGGGGTCCGGGGAGAGCGGATATAGGGAATGCGGGGTCCGATATAGTGAATGCGGGGTCCGGGGAGATATAGTGAATGGGGGTCCGGGGAGAGCGGAGTGAATGCGGGGTCCGGGGAGAGCGGATATAGTGAATGCGGGGTCCGGGGAGAGCGGGGTGAATGCGGGGTCCGGGGAGAGCGGATATAGTGAATGCGGGGTCCGGGGAGAGCGGATATAGTGAATGCGGGGTCCGGGGGAGAGCGGATACAGTCCGGGGAGAGCGGATATAGTGAATGCGGGGTCCGGGGAGAGCGGATATAGTGAATGCGGATACAGAGTGAATGCGGGGTCCGGGGAGAGCGGATATAGTGAATGCGGGGTCCGGGGAGAGCGGATATAGGGATACAGTGAATGAATGGGGTCCGGGGAGAGCGGATATAGGAATGCGGGGTCCGGGGAGAGCGGATATAGGGAACGCGGGGTCCGGGGAGAGCGGATATAGTGAATGCGGGGTCCGGGGAGAGCGGATATAGTTAATGTGGGGTCCGGGGAGAGCGGATATGGTGAATGCGGGGTCCGGGGAGAGCGGATATATAGTGAATGCGGGGTCCGGGGAGAGCGGATACAGTGAATGCGGGGTCCGGGGGAGAGCGGATATAGTGAATGCGGGGTCCGGGAGAGCAGATATAGGGAACACGGGGTCCGGGGAGAGCGGATATAGGGAATGCGGGGTCCGGGGAGAGCGGATATAGTGAATGCGGGGTCCGGGGAGAGCGGATATAGTGAATGCGGGGTCTGGGGAGAGCGGATATAGTGAATGCGGGGTCCGGGGAGAGCGGATATAGTGAATGCGGGGTCCGGGGAGAGCGGATATAGTGAATGCGGGGTCCGGGGAGAGCGGATATAGTGAATGCGGGGTCCGGGGAGAGCGGATATAGTGAATGCGGGGTCCGGGGAGAGCGGATATATATATATATATATGTGTGTGTGTATATACCCCTAGTATATGAATGTGAGTTCGGGACCTTTAGATTGTACGCTCCTCGGGGGCGGGGCTTGATGTGGATGTACAATATATAAGTACCTGTAATAAATAATAATCCACTTCATTCTAGAGTCCCATCCCCCCACGCAGCACCCCATGTCCGGTCAGAAGCCATACTAGGGTCCTACTAAAGGAGAACTCCGCTGTACAGTCTGAATGCTTCCTCCCATCCACAGACATCCCACGCGGTCCGGTCTCCTCCTGTAGCAGGAAGTGACACGTGCGGAGGAAGGCGCACAGCGAGTGTTAACCCCTTGCTACACCAATGAGGGGCTCTTTGTCTTGACAGAATATTTCTTCAGTCTCCCGACTACTAATGTGTTACTTTCCAGGGGCCCCAGCGGCTCCTCATCGCCAGTAATGGCAGCACGTGGTCCATCACATGACAGAGAATCAATTCTCTTCCTTACAGGAAACGCCGCAATTGTTGAAGAGGCAGAAAAGAGATTGGTCGATCCCTCCGGTGGCATTCCCTGAGAATGATAGGGGGCCGTTCCCTAAACGCATCAATCAGGTAAGGGGGGGGGGGGGGGGGGGCAGGACAATGGGTGAGGATAGGGGCCGTTCCCTAAATGCATCATCCAGGTAGGGGGGGCAGGACAATGGGTGAGGATAGGGGGCCGTTCCCTAAACGCATCAATCAGGGGGGGGGGGGGGGGACAGGACAATGGGTGAAAGGCCGGCTTGTCTTCACATGTAGTAGAGGCAGAAAACATGGGGGCCCCCCCCCCATGTCTTCATCTCAGTGTCCCCAGTGAAGGGACTTCCCCCCACGCTCCGCCAATCCCCACATATAGAGGATTGGGTCCGCCAATCCCCATTAGGGGGGGGGGGGGGGGGGCAATGTGACTCCAATCAGAGTGGTCAAGTTGGCCACACATGCCACATGCTTATTGTCCGATATCACTCGGGGTCCCGTCCTCCTCCACGCTGTGCGATTCCCTCGGGGTCCGTCCTCCTCCACGCTGTGCGATTCCCTCGGGGTCCGTCCTCCTCCACGCTGTGCGATTCCCTCGGGGTCCGTCCTCCTCCACGCTGTGCGATTCCCTCGGGGTCCGTCCTCCTCCACGCTGTGCGATTCCCTCGGGGTCCGTCCTCCTCCACGCTGTGCGATTCCCTCGGGGTCCGTCCTCCTCCACGCTGTGCGATTCCCTCGGGGTCCGTCCACAGTCCTCCACGCTGTGCGATTCCCTCGGGGTCCCGTCCTTATCTCCATGCTGTGCGATTATGCGGTGCCCCTTTCACAGTAGCTTTCCATAGTGCTCCTTATCACGGGAATTAGAATGCCCTTATCACAGTATCACAGTGCCCCTTATCACAGTGTATTATCACAGTGCCCCTTATCACAGTGCTCCTTATCACAGTGCCCACTTTATCATCACAGTGCTCCTTATCACACTGCCCTTATCACAGTGCCCCTTATCACAGTGCTCCTTATCACAGTGCCCCTTATCACAGTGCCCCTTATCACAGTGCCCCTTATCACAGTGCTCCTTATCACAGTGCTCCTTATCACAGTGCGCCTTATCACAGTGCCCCTTATCACAGTGCCCCTTATCACAGTGCCCTTATCACAGTGCGCATTATCACCGTGCCCCTTATCACAGTGCCCCTTATCACAGTGCCCCTTATCACCGTGCTCCTTATCACAGTGCTCCTTATCACATCACCGTGCATCACAGTGCCCCTTATCACAGTGCTCCTTATCACAGTGCTCCTTATCACAGTGCTCCTTATCACCGAGCCCTTATCACCGTGCTCCTTATCACACTGCCCCTTATCACACTGCCCCTTATCACAGTGCTCCTTATCACAGTGCCCTTATCACAGTGCTCCTTATCACCCGTGCTCCTTATCACAGTGCCCATTATCACAGTCACCGTGCCCCTTATCACAGTGCCCCTTATCACAGTGCCCCTTATCACAGTTATCACCGTGCTCCTTATCACACAGTGCCCCTTATCACACTGCCCCTTATCACAGTGCCCCTTATCACCGTGCCCCTTATCACCGTGCTCCTTATCACACTGCCCCTTATCACACTGCCCCTTATCACAGTGCTCCTTATCACAGTGCTCCTTATCACAGTGCTCCTTATCACAGTGCCCCTTATCACAGTGCCCCTTATCACCGTGCCCCTTATCACCGTGCCCCTTATCACCGTGCCCCTTATCACCGTGCCCCTTATCACAGTGCCCCTTATCACAGTGCCCCTTATCACAGTGCCCCTTATCACAGTGCCCCTTATCACAGTGCCCCTTATCACAGTGTGCCCTTATCACAGTGCCCCTTATCACAGTGCCCCCTTATCACAGTGCCCCTTATCACAGTGCTCCTTATCACAGTGCCCCTTATCACAGTGCCCCTTATCACAGTGCCCCTTATCACAGTGCCCCTTATCACCGTGCCCCTTATCACCGTGCCCCTTATCACCGTGCCCCTTATGCACCGTGCCCCTTATCACCGTGCCCCTTATCACAGTGCCCCTTATCACAGTGCCCCTTATCACAGTGCCCCTTATCACAGTGCCCCTTATCACAGTGCCCCTTATCACACTGCCCCTTATCACAGTGCTCCTTATCACACTGCCCCTTATCACAGTGCCCTTTATCACACTGTCCCCTTCATTTCCAGCCTCCCCTGCATCGTCCTATCAGGGCAAGGGCACTTGCCAGCCTGGCGGTCCTCTCCCGGGACTCCTGCCAGGACCGGTATCACCCTTACAGCGGGAAAGGTGAGAGCTGCTGCAGATCTGGATGGAGGGTGAGAGCTGCCAGACTTATGTTAACAAGCAGGGAATTACCGCCCCCCGCCCGCTGTTAGGATGATACCAGCGTGAGGCGGGGGACCCGGGAAGAGGACACACAACTGTGAAGTGGCACAGCTGCTGTCTGGACAGGACTGTTGCTTGGTCCAGGTCTGGACCGCGGTCCGCCATTTAGTGGTCATTGCTGTAGAACATGTGCTCTGCTTAGGGGGCTTCACAGATGCAGCAACAATAGACCACCACGCTAAAACGGATCCCCTCCAACTACAATAGATCCCCCAGCAGCCAACACAAGCATATTGTAACTTCCATTTACGTGATTTTATTGCAGTTTTACAGAAGGAAACCCAACGCTGCTTCTGCCAGTCATGTCAGCTAGTTGTTGGATAACCGTCAGCAGGGCAGCAGGAACAGTTTAGGGACAAATCCTGGTTCAACTTCACCGTTTTCTCAATTTCCAGGTTCGTTCGTCTGAAAGCGCAAAAACCAAGAATATTAAATACTCCATAAGTGGAGAAGGAGCCGACAAGCCCCCGGTTGGGGTCTTCACCATGGAGGCCGACACCGGAAACCTCATGGTTACCCAGCCTCTGGACAGGGAGAGGAAGGAGAAGTACCAGGTGAGGACTCGTCATTGGCTGCCGCGTCTTCCCTCATCCAATAAAAAGCTTTGTGGAAATGCAATCATGAATTGTTACATCTGAGAATAAATCCATATGGTGGGGGATGGGGGCAGGGTGGGGGATAGGGGCAGGAGGGGGGCAGGATGGGGGATGGGGGCAGGATGGGAGATGGGGGCAGGAGGGGGGTAAGATGGGGGATGGGGGCAGGAGGGGGGCAGGATGGAGGATGGGGGCAGGGTGGGGGATAGGGGCAGGAGGGGGGGGCATGATGGGGGCAGGAGGGGGGCAGGGTGGGGGATAGTGGCAGGAGGGGGGCAGGATGGGGGAGGGGGGCAGGATGGGGGATGGGGGCAGGGTGGGGGATAGAGGCAGGAGGGGGGCAGGATGGAGAATGGGGGCAGGATGGGGGATAGGGGCAGGATGGGGGCAGGGTGGGCCATCTCCCTTTACTCGTGGTACACAATCTGTGGCCAATAGACATTTTATTTGTGTTTTAGGAGCTGAAAGAAGAATCTCATATCAGTGGCCCCATAGTAGAAATACTGCTACAGGGCTGCAGGGCTGCGCAAAATCACATGTGTGTGTGTATGTACAGTGGGGATGGAAAGTTTGGGCACCCCAGCTAAAAATTTGTATTAATGTGCATAAAGAAGCCAAGGAAAGATGGAAAAATCTCCAAAAGGCATCAAATTACAGATTAGACATTCTTATAATATGTCAACAAAAGTTAGATTTTATTTCCATCATTTACACTTTCAAAATAACAGAAAACAAAAAAATGGCATCTGCAAAAGTTTGGGCCCCCTGCAGAGTTAATATCTTGTACTGCCCCCTTTGCCAAGCTGAGACCTGCCAGTGTCATGGATTGTTCTCAATCATCGTCTGGGAACACCAGGTGATGTCAATCTCAAAGGTTTTAAATGCCCCGACTCATCTGACCTTGCCCCAACAATCAGCACCATGGGTTCTTCTAAGCAGTTGTCTAGAAAACTGAAACTGAAAATAGTTGACGCTCACAAAGCTGGAGAAGGCTATAAGAAGATAGCAAAGCGTTTTCAGATGTCAATATCCTCTGTTCGGAATGTCATTAAGAAATGGCAGTCATCAGGAACAGTGGAAGTTAAAGCAAGATCTGGAAGACCAAGAAAAATATCAGACAGAACAGCTCGCAGGATTGTGAGAAAAACAATTCAAAACCCACGTTTGACTGCACGATCCCTCCAGAAAGATCTGGCAGACACTGGAGTTGTGGTACACTATTCCACTATAAAGAGATACTTGTACAAATATGGGCTTCATGGAAGAGTCATCAGAAGAAAACCTCTTCTACGTCCTCACCACAAAAATCATCGTTTGAAACTTTGCAAATGAACATATAGACAATCCTGATGCATTTTGGAAACAAGTTCTGTGGACCGATGAGGTTAAAATGGAACTTCTTGGCCGGAATGAGCAAAGGTACGTTTGGAGAAGAAGGAGCACAGAATTGAATGACAAGAACCTCTGTCCAACTGTGAAGCATGGGTTGGATCAATCATGCTTTGGGGTTGTGTTGCAGCCAGTGGCACAGGGAACATCTCACGAGTAGAAGGAAAAATGGATTCAATAAAATTTCAGCAAATTTTGGATGGTAACTTGATGCCATCTGTGAAAAAGCTGAAGTTAAAGAGAGGATGGCTTCTACAAATGGATAATGATCCTAAACACACCTCGAAATCCACGGGGGATTACATCAAGAGGCGTAAACTGAAGGTTTTGCCATGGCCTTCACAATCTCCTGACCTCAACATCATTGAAAATCTATGGATAGACATTGCTCCTGTGGACAGGTGTCTTTTATACAGGTAACACAATGAGATTAGCAGCACTCCCTTTAAGAGACTGCTTCTAATCTCAGCTTGTTACCTGTATGAGAGACACCTGGGAGCCAGAAATCCTGCTGAATGATAGGGGATCAAATCCTTCTTTCCCTCATGAACATGCAGATCCGTCATCATTTGTTTTAGACGCATTTCTGCTGAATTTGTTGTTGTATTCTGTCTCTCAGTGTTACAGCGAACATTCCATTGTTAGACCGATCATTTCTGTGTGAGGGGTGAACATTCCATTGTTAGACCGATCATTTCTGTGTGAGGGCGAACATTCCATTGTTAGACCGATCGTTTCTGTGTGAGGGGCAAACATTCCATTGTTAGACCGATCATTTCTGTGTGAGGGGCAAACATTCCATTGTTAGACCGATCATTTCTGTGTGAGGGGCAAACATTCCATTGTTAGACCGATCAGGGGCGGACTGACCATTTGGAAACTCAGGTACTTCCCAAGGACCCAGGGTCAGTAGGGGGCCCCATGAGATGCCCCTGGTACCTTTTCCATAGGCTTTTTTGAGTTTGGGCAAGGACACAGGGGCCCATGATCCCCTATTGCCCGGGGGCCCCATGAATTGACAGTCCGCCCCTGAGACCGATCATTTCTTTGTGAGGGGTGAACGTTCAAACATCAGGGGGGGGCAAATACACATTTCCTTCACTGTTTATACAGGTGATTGTGCGAAGCCCCGCCTCCTGTCGCAGTTCCTCTATTATAGGGCGGCGAGGAAACGATTATTTGGCTTCACTTTCGTAAGATAAGAATTGTCAGTTTGTTATTTTGGATTTGTCGCATTTATTGCACCGCAGTGTAGGAGTCGTGCGTTACGGAACCACCTGAATTTGTGGCGCGAGTCGCTGTCAGCACCGGAGGGATGAACGCCATAAAAAGGTGGTGCAGCAGCTTCATTGAACCCCCCCTCCCCCCCCCCCCCGCATTGTGTCTCCTCCAGCAGTGGGGTGACCATCTCTGCCAGAAGTTCCGCTGGAACCTGAAAGCAGCGACATGGAGAGACGTTGCGGAACGTTTGGAAGATATAAGAACCAATGTGTCCATAATTGTCTTGCAGCTGGAGGTGCGAGCGATGTCAGAGAACGGAACCCCCGTGGAAGTTCCAAAGACGTTCGTCATTAAAGTGATCGATGTGAATGACAATCAGCCGTTCTTCACACAGATTGTATCTGATGGCTTCGTGACGGAGGGATCCCCGAAGGGTGAGTGCTGTCATCTGATTGGGCGATGTTCCAGCCACGCTTCTCTGCACGGTCCACAACGCGCAACATTTACAGGCAGGATTGTTCTGTGTCTTTTAGGGTTCTTTGCGGTAAAAAGCACGGAAGCAATGACACCGTTGTAGTAGGAATGCACCGATACCGAGTGTCTGCACCGATACCGAGTGTCTGCTCCGATACCAAGTGTCTGCTCCGATACCGAGTGTCTGCACCAATACTGAGTGTCTGCACCAATACTGAGTGTCTGCACCAATACCGAGTGTCTGCACCAATACCGAGTGTCTGCTCCAATACCGAGTGTCTGCACCAATACCGAGTGTCTGCTCCAATACCGAGTGTCTGCACCAATACCGAGTGTCTGCTCCAATACTGAGTGTCTGCTCCAATACTGAGTGTCTGCACCAATACCGAGTGTCTGCACCAATACCGAGTGTCTGCACCAATACCGAGTGTCTGCACCAATACCGAGTGTCTGCTCCAATACCGAGTGTCTGCACCAATACCGAGTGTCTGCTCCAATACCGAGTGTCTGCTCCAATACCGAGTGTCTGCTCCCAATACCGAGTGTCTGCACCAATACGGAGTGTCTGCTGTCTGCCCAATACCGAGTGTCTGCTCCAATACCGAGTGTCTGCTCCAATACCGAGTGTCTGCTCCAATACCGAGTGTCTGCTCCAATACCGAGTGTCTGCTCCAATACCGAGTGTCTGCTCCAATACCGAGTGTCTGCACCAATACCGAGTGTCTGCACCAATACCGAGTGTCTGCACCAATACCTGCACCAATACCGAGTGTCTGCACCAATACCGAGTGTCTGCACCAATACCGAGTGTCTGCACCAATACCGAGTGTCTGCTCCAATACCGAGTGTCTGCTCCAATACCGAGTGTCTGCACCAATACGGAGTGTCTGCTCCAATACCGAGTGTCTGCTCCAATACCGAGTGTCTGCTCCAATACCGAGTGTCTGCACCAATACCGAGTGTCTGCACCAATACCGAGTGTCTGCACCAATACCGAGTGTCTGCTCCAATACCGAGTGTCTGCACCAATTACCGAGTGTCTGCTCCAATACCGAGTGTCTGCTCCAATACCGAGTGTCTGCTCCAATACTGAGTGTCTGCACCAATACCGAGTGTCTGCACCAATACCGAGTGTCTGCACCAATGTCTGCACCGAGTGTCTGCACCAATACCGAGTGTCTGCACCAATACCGAGTGTCTGCACCAATACCGAGTGTCTGCACCAATACCGAGTGTCTGCACCAATACGGAGTGTCTGCACCAATACGGAGTGTCTGCACCAATACCGAGTGTCTGCACCAATACCGAGTGTCTGCTCCAATACCGAGTGTCTGCTCCAATACCGAGTGTCTGCTCCAATACCGAGTGTCTGCACCAATACGGAGTGTCTGCTCCAATACCGAGTGTCTGCTCCAATACCGAGTGTCTGCTCCAATACCGAGTGTCTGCTCCAATACCGAGTGTCTGCTCCAATACCGAGTGTCTGCTCCAATACCGAGTGTCTGCTCCAATACCGAGTGTCTGCACCAATACCGAGTGTCTGCACCAATACCGAGTGTCTGCACCAATACCGAGTGTCTGCACCAATACCGAGTGTCTGCTCCAATACCGAGTGTCTGCTCCAATACTGAGTGTCTGCACCAATACTGAGTGTCTGCTCCAATACTTGTACCGGTGAAAATGCTTCCGATAGCAGAAAAACCGATACTTTGTGTCAATACAAATTGCATCTCAAAGATTAGCATGTGATTTGAACAGAGAATGTGATTTCTGTCCGTATTGCATGCGGTTTCCCCTGCTGCTCCACGCGGTTTCCCTGCTACTCCACGCGGTTTCCCTTCTGCTCCACGCGGTTTCCCTTCTGCTCCACGCGGTTTCCCTTCTGCTCCACACGCGGTTTCCCTTCTGCTCCATGCGGTTTCCCTGCTGCTCCATGCGGTTTCCCTGCTGCTCCATGCGGTTTCCCTTCTGCTGCTCCACGCGGTTTCCCTTGTGCTCCATGCGGTTTCCCCTTGTGCTCCATGCGGTTTCCCTGCTGCTCCATGCGGTTTCCCTTCTGCTCCATGCGGTTTCCCTGCTGCTCCACGCGGTTTGCCTTCTGCTCCATGCGGTTTCCCTTCTGCTCCATGCGGTTTCCCTTCTGCTCCATGCGGTTTCCCTGCTGCTCCACGCGGTTTCCCTGCTGCTGCTCCACGCGGTTTCCCTTCTGCTCCACGCGGTTTCCCTGCTGCTCCACGCGGTTTCCCTTCTGCTCCACGCGGTTTCCCTTCTGCTCCACGCGGTTTCCCGGCTGCTCCATGCGGTTTCCCGGCTGCTCCATGCGGTTTCCCTGCTGCTCCATGCGGTTTCCCTTCTGCTCCATGCGGTTTCCCTTCTGCTCCATGCGGTTTCCCTGCTGCTCCATGCGGTTTCCCTTCTGCTGCTCCACGCGGTTTCCCTTCTGCTCCATGCGGTTTCCCTTCTGCTCCATGCGGTTTCCCTGCTGCTCCATGTGGTTTCCCTTCTGCTGCTCCATTCGGTTTCCCTTCTGCTCCATTCGGTTTCCCTTCTGCTCCATTCGGTTTCCCTTCTGCTCCATGTGGTTTCTCTTCTGCTCCATGCGGTTTCCCTGCTGCTCCATGTGGTTTCCCTTCTGCTCCATGCGGTTTCCCTGCTGCTCCATGCGGTTTCCCTTCTGCTCCATGCGGTTTCCCTGCTGCTCCACGCAGTTTCCCTTCTGCTCCATGCGGTTTCCCTTCTGCTCCATGCGGTTTCCCTGCTGCTCCATGCGGTTTCCCTGCTGCTCCATGCGGTTTCCCTTCTGCTCCATGCGGTTTCCCTGCTGCTCCACGCGGTTTCCCTTCTGCTCCATGCGGTTTCCCTGCTACTCCATGCGGTTTCCCTGCTGCTCCATGCGGTTTCTCTTCTGCTCCATGCGGTTTCCTGCTGCTGCTCCATGTGGTTTCTCTTCTGCTCCATGCGGTTTCCCCTTGCTGCTCCATGTGGTTTCCCTGCTGCTCCATGTGGTTTCCTTCTGCTCCATGCGGTTTCCCTGCTGCTCCATGCGGTTTCTCTTCTGCTCCATGCGGTTTCCCTGCTGCTCTATGCGGTTTCCCTGCTGCTCCATGCGGTTTCTCTTCTGCTCCATGCGGTTTCCCTGCTGCTCCATGTGGTTTCTCTTCTGCTCCATGCGGTTTCCCTGCTGCTCCATGTGGTTTCCCTTCTGCTCCATGCGGTTTCCCTGCTGCTCCATGCGGTTTCCCTTCTGCTCCATGCGGTTTCCCTGCTGCTCCATGCAGTTTCCCTTCTGCTCCATGCGGTTTCCCTTCTGCTCCATGCGGTTTCCCTGCTGCTCCTGCGCGTTTCCCTGCTACTCCATGCGGTTTCCCTTCTGCTCCATGCGGTTTCCCTGCTGCTCCACACGGTTTCCCTTCTGCTCCATGCGGTTTCCCTGCTACTCCATGCGGTTTCCCTGCTGCTCCATGCGGTTTCTCTTCTGCTCCATGCGGTTTCCCTGCTGCTCCATGTGGTTTCCCTGCTGCCTTCTGCTCCATGCGGTTTCCCTGCTGCTCCATGTGGTTTCCCTGCTGCTCCATGTGGTTTCCTTTCTGCTCCATGCGGTTTCCCTGCTGCTCCATGCGGTTTCCCTTCTGCTCCATGCGGTTTCCCTGCTACTCCATGCGGTTTCCCTGCTGCTCCATGCGGTTTCTCTTCTGCTCCATGCGGTTTCCCTGCTGCTCCATGTGGTTTCTCTTCTGCTCCATGCGGTTTCCCTGCTGCTCCATGTGGTTTCCCTGCTGCTCCATGTGGTTTCTCTTCTGCTCCACGCGGTTTCCCTGCTGCTCCACGCGGTTTCTCTTCTGCTCCACGCGGTTTCCCTGCTGCTCCATGCGGTTTCTCTTCTGCTCCATGCGGTTTCTCTTCTGCTCCATGCGGTTTCCCTGCTGCTCTATGCGGTTTCCCTGCTGCTCCACGCGGTTTCCCTGCTGCTCCACGCGGTTTCCCTGCTGCTCCACGCGGTTTGGTCTGGTGACGTCCCCCCTCTGGCACAGCCCTTCCATATTATTCTGTTATGGAGTCCTTTTCCCTCCCCCCACTTCCTACCAATGTCACTTCCTGTGGCCTGAGCTTCATGAACCAGTCCAACGATTCATCCTGAGGGTGGGCGATGATTGGTCCTGAGGGCGATGGTTGGGTGATGATTGATTCTGAGGGCGATGGTTGGGTGATGATTGATTCTGAGGGCAATGGTTGGGTGATGGTTGGTCCTGAGGGCGATGGTTGGGTGATGATTGATTCTGAGGGCGATGGTTGGGTGATGAATGGCCCTGAGGGTGATGGTTGGGCGATGATTGGCCCTGAGGGTGATGGTTGGGTTGGGTCCTGAGGGCGATGGTTGGGTGATGATTGGGTCCTGATCCCTGAGGGCGATGGTTGGGTGATGATTGGTCCCTGAGGGTGATGGTTGGTCCTGAGGGCGATGGTTGGGGTGATGATTGGTCCTGAGGGCGATGGTTGGGTGATGATTGGCCCTGAGGGCGATGGTTGGGTGATGATTTGGCCCTGAGGGCGGTGGATGGCGATGGTTGGGTGATGATTGGCCCTGAGGGCGATGGTTGGGTGATGATTGGTCCTGAGGGCGATGGTTGGGTGATGGGCGATGGTCCTGAGGGATGATGGTCCTGAGGGCGATGGTTGGGTGATGATTGGCCCTGAGGGGCGATGGTTGGGTGATGATTGGCCCTGAGGGCGATGGTTGGGTGATGATTGGCCCTGAGGGCGATGGTTCGGGTGATGATTGGCCCTGAGGGCGATGGTTGGGGCGATGGGGGTGATGATGATTGGCCCTGAGGGCGATGGTTGGGTGATGATTGGCCCTGAGGGCGTTGGGCGATGATTGGTCCTGAGGGTTGGTGGGCGATGATTGGTCCTGAGGGCGATGGTTGGATGATCATCCTGAGGGCGATGGTTGGGTGATGATTGGTCCTGAGGGCGATGGTTGGGTGATGATTGGTCCCTGAGGGGATGATGGTTGGGCGATGATTGGTCCTGAGGGCGATGGTTGGGCGATGATTGGTCCTGAGGGTGATGGTTGGAGGGATGATTGGTCCTGAGGGCGATGGTTGGGTGATGATTGGTCCTGAGGGCGATGGTTGGGTTGGGTGGGCGATTGAGGGCGATGGTGGGTGATGATTGGTCCTGAGGGCGATGGTTGGGTGATGATTGGTCCTGAGGGCGATGGTTGGGTGATGGATGGTCCTGAGGGCGATGGTTGGGGCGATGGTTGGGTGATTGGTCCTGAGGGCGGGCGATGGTTGGGCGATGATTGGTCCTGAGGGCGATGGTTGGGTGATGATTGGTCCTGAGGGCGATGGTTGGGTGATGATTGTCCTGAGGGCGATGGTTGGGTGATGATTGGTCCTGAGGGCGATGGTTGGGCGATGATTGGTCCTGAGGGCGATGGTTGGGTGATGATTGGTCCTGAGGGCGGTGGTTGGGTGATGATTGGCCTGAGGGCGATGGTTGGATGATTGGGGCGAGGGTTGGGTGGGTGATGATTGGTCCTGAGGGTGATGGTTGGGTGATGATTGGCCCTGAGGGCGATGGTTGGGTGATGATTGGTCCTGAGGGCGATGGTTGGGTGATGATTGGCCCTGAGGGCGATGGTTGGGGTGATGATTGGTCCTGAGGGCGATGATGATTGGCCTGAGGGGCGATGGTTGGGTGATGATTGGTCCTGAGGGCGATGGTTGGGTGATGATGATTGGCCTGAGGGCGATGGTTGGGTGATGATTGGCCCTGAGGGCGATGGTTGGGTGATGATGGTTGGGTGATGATTGGCCCTGAGGGTGATGGTTGGGCGATTGGATTGATGATTCCCTGACGGTGATGGTTGGGTGATGATTGGTTCTGAGGGCGATGGTCGGGTGATGATTGGCCCTGAGGGCGATGGTTGGGTGATGATTGGCCCTGAGGGCGATGATTGATCCTGAGGGCGATGGTTGGGTGATGATTGGTTCTGAGGGCGATGGTTGGGTGATGATTGGCCCTGAGGGCGATGGTCGGGTGATGATTGGCCCTGAGGGCGATGGTTGGGCGATGATTGGCCCTGAGGGCGATGGTTGGGTGATGATTGGTCCTGAGGGCGATGGTTGGGCGATGATTGGCCCTGAGGGCGATGGTTGGGCGATGATTGGCCCTGAGGGCGATGGTCGGGCGATGATGATTGGTCCTGAGGGCGATGGTTTGGGCGATGATGATTGGCCCTGAGGGCGATGGTTGGGTGATGATTGGTCCTGAGGGCGATGGTTGGGCGATGATTGGTCCCTGAGGGCGATGGTTGGGCGATGATTGGTCCTGAGGGCGATGGTTGGGCGATGATTGGCCCTGAGGGCGATGGTTGGGTGATGATTGGTCCTGAGGGCGATGGTTGGGCGATGATTGGTCCTGAGGGCGATGGTTGGGCGATGATTGGTCCTGAGGGGCGATGATTGGTCCTGAGGGCGATGGTTGGGTGATGATTGGTCCTGAGAGCGATGGTTGGGGGCGATGATTGGTCCTGAGGGCGATGGTTGGTCCTCCTGGGCGATGGTTGGGTGATGGCGATTGGTCCTGAGGGCGATGGTTGGTGGTCCCTGAGGGCGATGGGTTGGGTGCGATGATTGGTCCTGAGGGCGATGGTTGGGCCTGAGATGATTGGGTGATGCCTTAGGGCGATGGTTGGGTGATGATTGGTCCTGAGGGGGCGATGATTGGTCCTTGGGCGATGATTGGTCCTGAGGGCGATGATTGGTCCTGAGGGCGATGGTTGGGTGATGATTGGTCCTGAGGGCGATGGTTGGGTGATGATTGGTCCTGAGGGCGATGGTTGGGTGATGATTGGCCCTGAGGGCGATGGTTGGGTGATGATTGGCCCTGAGGGCGATGATTGGTCCCTGAGGGTGATGGTTGGGTGATGATTGGTCCTGAGGGTGATGGTTTGTGATGATTGGTCCTGAGGGCGATGATTGGCCCTGAGGGCAATGGTTGGGTGATGATTGGCCCTGAGGGCGATGGTTGGGTGATGATTGGCCCTGAGGGCGATGGTTGGGTGATGATTGGCCCTGAGGGTGATGATTCATCCTGAGGGCGATGGTTGGGTGATGATTGGCACTGAGGGCGATGGTTGGGTGATGATTGGCCTGGGGCGATGGTTGAGGGCAATGGTTGGGTGATGATTGGCCCTGAGGGTGATGATTCATCCTGACGGTGATGGTCGGGTGATGATTGGCCCTGAGGGCGATGGTTGGGTGATGATTGGCCCTGAGGGCGTTGATTCATCCTGAGGGCGATGGTTGGGTGATGATTGGTTTTGAGGGCGATGGTTGGGTGATGATTGGCCCTGAGGGCGATGGTTGGGTGATGATTGGCCCTGAGGGCGATGGTTGGGTGATGATTGGCCCTTAGGGCGATGGTTGGGTGATGATTGGCCCTGAGGGCGATGGTTGGGCGATGATTGGCCCTGAGGGCGATGGTTGGGCGATGATTGGCCCTGAGGGCGATGGTTGGGCGATGATTGGTCCTGAGGGCGATGGTTGGGCGATGATTGGTCCTGAGGGCGATGGTTGGGCGATGATTGGTCCTGAGGGTGATGGTTGGGCGATGATTGGTCCTGAGGGATGGTGATGGTTGGGCGATGATTGGTCCTGAGGGTGATGGTTGGGTGATGGTTGGTCCTGAGGGTGATGGTTGGGCGATGGTTGGGTGATGATTGGTCCTGAGGGCGATGATTGGTCCTGAGGGCGATGGTTGGGCGATGATTGGTCCTGAGGGCGATGATTGGTCCTGGGGGGCGATGGTTGGGGGCGATGGTTGGGCGATGATTGGTCCTGAGGGCGATGGTTGGGTGATGATTGGTCCTGAGGGCGATGGTTTGGCGATGATTGGTCCTGAGGGCGATGGTTGGGCGATGATTGGTCCTGAGGGCGATGATTGGTCCTGAGGGCGATGGTTGGGTGATGATTGGTCCTGAGGGCGATGGTTTGGCGATGATTGGTCCTGAGGGTGATGGTTGGGCGATGATTGGTCCTGAGGGCGATGATTGGTCCTGAGGGCGATGGTTGGGCGATGATTGGTCCTGAGGGTGATGATTGGTCCTGAGGGCGATGATTGGTCCTGAGGGCGATGGTTAGGCGATGATTGGTCCTGAGGGCGATGATGATTGGGCGCGATGATTGGTCCTGAGGGTGATGGTTGGGCGATGATTGGTCCTGAGGGCGATGATTGGTCCTGAGGGCGATGGTTGGGTGATGATTGGTCCTGAGGGCGATGATTGGCCTGAGGGCGATGGTTGGGTGATGATTGGTCCTGAGGGCGATGGTTGGGTGATGATTGGCCCTGAGGGCGATGGTTGGGTGATGATTGGCCCTGAGGGCAATGATTCATCCTGAGGGCGATGGTTGGGCGATTGTTGGGCGATGATTGGTCCTGAGTGCGATGATTGGTCCTGAGGGCGATGGTTGGGCGATGATTGGTCCTGAGGGCGATGATTGGTCCTGAGGGCGATGATTGGTCCTGAGGGCGATGGTTAGGCGATGATTGGTCCTGAGGGCGATGGTTGGGTGATGATTGGCCCTGAGGGCAATGATTCATCCTGAGGGCGATGGTTGGGCGATTGTTGGGCGATGATTGGTCCTGAGTGCGATGATTGGTCCTGAGGGCGATGGTGGGGCGATGATTGGTCCTGAGGGCGATGATTGGTCCTGAGGGCGATGATTGGTCCTGAGGGCGATGGTTAGGCGATGATTGGTCCTGAGGGCGATGATTGGGCGATGATTGGTCCTGAGGGTGATAGTTGGGCGATGATTGGTCCTGAGGGCGATGATTGGTCCTGAGGGCGATGGTTGAGTGATGATTGGTCCTGAGGGCGATGATTGGTCCTGAGGGCGATGGTTGGGTGATGATTGGTCCTGAGGGCGATGGTTGGGTGATGATTGGCCCTGAGGGCGATGATTGGTCCTGAGGGTGATGGTTGTGATGATTGGTCCTGAGGGCGATGGTTGGGTGATGATTGGTCCTGAGGGTGATGGTTGGGCGATGATTGGTCCTGAGGGCGATGGTTGGGCGATGATTGGTCCTGAGGGCGATGATTGGGCGATGATTGGTCCCGAGGGTGATGGTTGGGCGATGGTTGGGCGATGATTGGTCCTGAGTGCGATGATTCGTCCTGAGGGCGATGATTGGTCCTGAGGGCGATGATTCGTCCTGAGGGCGATGATTGGTCCTGAGGGCGATGGTTAGGCGATGATTGGTCCTGAGGGTGATGGTTGGGCGATGATTGGTCCTGAGGGCGATGATTGGTCCTGAGGGCGATGATTGGTCCTGAGGGCGATGATTGGTCCTGAGGGCGATGGTTGGGTGATGATTGGTCCTGAGGGCGATGATTGGTCCTGAGGGCGATGGTTGGGTGATGGTTGGGCGATGATTGGGCGATGATTGGTCCTGAGGGCGATGGTTGGGTGATGGTTCATCCTGAGGGTGATGGTTGGGTGATGATTGGTCCCGAGGGCGATGGTTGGGCGATGGTTGGTCCCGAGGGCGATGGTTGGGCGATGGTTGGTCCCGAGGGCGATGATTGGCCGATGATTGGTCCTGAGGGTGATGGTTGGGTGATGGTTCATCCTGAGGGCGATGGTTGGGCGATGGTTGGTCCCGAGGGCGATGGTTGGGCGATGGTTGGTCCCGAGGGCGATGATTGGCCGATGATTGGTCCTGAGGGTGATGGTTGGGTGATGGTTCATCCTGAGGGTGATGGTTGGGTGATGATTGGTCCCGAGGGTGATGGTTGGGCGATGATTGGTCCTGAGGGTGATGATTGGTCCTGAGGGCGATGATTGATGATGAGATGACATTGGGGCTGCGCTGGCTTCTTCCAGGCACATCGGTGATGGCGGTCGCAGCGAAGGATTTGGACGACACGTTGGAGGGTAACAATGGGGTCATCCGATATTCCATCGTCCAGCAAACACCGAAGGAGCCCAGCAATGCGTTTGTCATCGCCGCCGACAACGGGATCATCTCTGCCAATGTGGAGGGGCTGAGCCAGAAGGTTCGTCCATTTTATACGTTTGTAATATTTGAGGGAAGGCTCCGCCCACTAGAGGGTCATGTTAGGCTCAGAAAATCACTGAATAAAAATGCAGCCAATAGCGTCGCAGCGTTCAGAAGTGTTTTTACATTAGAGGATTAGTTCAGCATTTTTTTTAGGGGAATAGGGACAAGCTAGGTGAATGAATACATGGACACAGGGGAATAGGGACAAGCTAGGTGAATGAATACATGGACATAGGGGAATAGGGACAAGCTGGGTGAATGAATACATGGACATAGGGGAAATAGGGACAAGCTGGGTGAATGAATACATGGACATAGGGGAATAGGGACAAGCTGGGTGAATGAATACATGGACATAGGGGAATAGGGACAAGCTAGGTGAATGAATACATGGACATAGGGGAATAGGGACAAGCTGGGGTGAATGAATACATGGACATAGGGGAGTAGGACAAGCTGGGTGAATGAATACATGGACATAGGGGAGTAGGGACAAGCAAGGTGAATGAATACATGGACATAGGGGAATAGGGACAAGCTAGGTGAATGAATACATGGACATAGGGGAATAGGGACAAGCTAGGTGAATGAATACATGGACATAGGGGAATAGGGACAAGCTAGGTGAATGAATACATGGACATAGGGGAATAGGGACAAGCTAGGTGAATGAATACATGGACATAGGGGAATAGGGACAAGCTAGGTGAATGAATACATGGACATAGGGGAATAGGACAAGCTAGGTGAATGAATACATGGACATAGGGGAATAGGACAAGCTAGGTGAATGAATACATGGACACGGGGAATAGGGTCAAGCTAGGTGAATGAATACATGGACATAGGGGAGTAGGGGACAAGCTAGGTGAATGAATACATGGACATAGGGGAATAGGACAAGCTAGGTGAATGAATACATGGACATAGGGGAATAGGGAAAGCTAGGTGAATGAATACATGGACATAGGGGAATAGGGACAAGCTAGGTGAATGAATACATGGACATAGGGGAATAGGGACAAGCTAGGTGAATGAATACATGGACATAAAGGAAGGGACAAGCTAGGTGAATGAATACATGGACATAGGGGAATAGGACAAGCTAGGTGAATGAATACATGGACACAGGGGAATAGGGACAAGCTAGGTGAATGAATACATGGACATAGGGGAATAGGACAAGCTAGGTGAATGAATACATGGACATAGGGGAATAGGGACAGGTGAATGAATACATGGACATAGGGGAATAGGACAAGCTAGGTGAATGAATACATGGACACAGGGGAATAGGACAAGCTAGGTGAATGAATACATGGACATAGGGGAATAGGACAAGCTAGGTGAATGAATACATGGACATTGGGGAATAGGGACAAGCCGGGTGAATGAATACATGGACATTGGGGAATAGGACAGCTAGGTGAATGAATACATGGACATAGGGGAATAGGGACAGGCTAGGTGAATGAATACATGGACATAGGGGAATAGGGACAAGCTAGGTGAATGAATACATGGACATGGAACATAGGGGAATTGGAAAGCTGGTGAATGAATGAATGACATGGACATAGGGGAATAGGACAAGCCAGATGAATGAATACATGGACATAGGGGAATAGGGACAAGCTAGGTGAATGAATACATGGACATAGGGGAATAGGACAAGCTAGGTGAATGAATACATGGACACAGGGGAATAGGGACAAGCTAGGTGAATGAATACATGGACATAGGGGAATAGGGACAAGCTAGGTGAATGAATACATGGACACAGGGGAATAGGGACAAGCTAGGTGAATGAATACATGGACATAGGGGAATAGGGACAAGCTAGGTGAATGAATACATGGACATAGGGGAATAGGGACAAGCTAGGTGAATGAATACATGGACATAGGGGAATAGGGACAAGCTAGGTGAATGAATACATGGACATAGGGGAATAGGACAAGCTAGGTGAATGAATACATGGACATAGGGGAATAGGACAAGCTAGGTGAATGAATACATGGACATAGGGGAATAGGGACAAGCTAGGCGAATGAATACGTGGACATAGCGGAATAGGGATAAGCTAGGTGAATGAATACATGGACATAATGGAATAGGGAAAAGCTAGGTGAATGAATACATGGGACACAGGGGAATAGGGACAAGCTAGGTGAATGAATACATGGACATAATGGAATAGGGAAAAGCTAGGTGAATGAATACATGGACACAGGGGAATAGGGACAAGCTAGGTGAATGAATACATGGACATAGGGGAATAGGACAAGCTAGGTGAATGAATACATGGACATAGGGGAGTAGGACAAGCTAGGTGAATGAATACATGGACATAGGGGAGTAGGACACAAGCTAGGTGAATGAATACATGGACATAGCAGAATAGGACAAGCTAGGTGAATGAATACATGGACACGGGAATAGGGACAAGCTAGGTGAATGAATACATGGACATAGCGGAATAGGACAAGCTAGGGTGAAATGAATACATGGACATAGCGGAAATGGACAAGCTAGGTGAATGAATACATGGACATAGCGGAATAGGACAAGCTAGGTGAATGAATACATGGACATAGTATTTTTACATCTTACAGAGAAATATGTTACTTCTGACTCAGCTTTGTCTGACTATTTTGTTTTCAGCACAACCCTAAATTTACTTTAGTGGTCAGAGCAGCAGACAAGGAGGGCCACGGACATGCAATCACAAGAACAGTCGTGATCACCGTGGGCAAGGCTGATACCCCGGTATGTATTACCCGCTAAATGCTGTGTAACCATCAATCCACCATCTAGGCCAGGAGACCAGCTATTGTGGTGATGAAGACGGAGCCGCGGGATTTGCTGCAGAGGGGAGCACCAGGGGAGTATTGGGGGAGCTGTACATGGGCATAGAGGAATAGGGACAAACTAGGTGAATGAATACATGGACATAGGGAATAGGGACAAACAAGCTAGGTGAATGAATACATGGACACAGGGGAATAGGGACAAGCTAGGTGAATGAATACGTGGACACAGGGGAATAGGGACAAGCTAGGTGAATGAATACATGGACACAGGGGAATAGGGACAAGCTAGGTGAATGAATACATGGTCACAGGGGAATAGGGACAAGCTAGGTGAATGAATACATGGACATAGGGGAATAATTGGGGGAGCTGTACATGGACACCTATGGTCACTATCCTTAAAGCCCAACTCTGGGAAAAGTACAATCCCCCGCACTGCAAGGGGTAAATGCTTATTTCTGTCTAGGAGACAGGAGAGGTACTCTTACTTACCTGATTCTCCGCTCCCCAGCAGGCAGCACTCCCTCATGCTCTAGCTGTGGACTGTTCCATGGCATCCTCACATCCAATGCAGGGCTATGGTCCTTGCATCAGTTCTGATGACATCAGGGACCTTAGGCCACTGCAGTGCAGGTAAGAAGAGGCTGTGGGGACTGGTCAGTGCAGAAGAGCCTGTGGGAGCGGAGGATCGGGTAAGTGACACCGCTCTTCCCAACCCCCTAGACATAAACAAGCACTTAACCCCTTAGCGCTGGCGCCTCCTGGCCCTTTAAGGGTTTCAGAAGCCGGGAGGCGGGGCGGGGTTTTAAGGTCATGTGACCGCCGTGATTTGCCATCACAGCGGTCACATGATTGGGAAAGGTCCCGATCGAAAGAGATTGGGACCTTTCCGTGAGTACCGGACATGTGTGTGGGGGGCGCTCTCTCAGCACATGTTTTTCTTAATTGCAAATGTGCGGCCGCTCGGCATCAAGGCCCAGACACCAGGAGGCCGTGTATTTGCGTGCAGCCAAATGTGAATGTGCGTGTGAAGAGGTTAATGGGGCAGCAGAGTGACTAAATGATTAGCACTTCCGCCTGGCAGCATTGGGGTTTTTGGTTGAATCCCAACCATGGCATCACCTGCCTGGTGTTTTGCATGTTCTCCCTGTGCCTGTGTGGGTTTCCTCCGAGTCAGGGCAGGCTGACAACTCATGTCCCTGTGTCCTTGCCCCAAACTCATAAAAGCCTATGAAAAAGGTACGGGGCATCTCATGGGCCCCATACTGACCCCGAGCCCCCGGGCAGTGCCCGAGTTTCCAAATGGTCAGTCTGCCCCTGCTCCGGGTACTCCGCTTTCCTCCCACACTCCAAAGACATGCTGGTAGGTGAATTGCCCCTAGTATATGAATGTGAGTTAGGGACCTTAGATTGTACGCTCCTCAGGGGCGGGGCCTGATGTGGATGTACAATATATAAGAACCTGTAATAAATAATACACAATGCTGTCCACTCCATCCCCCCAAAGTAGCACCCCATGTCCGGATCTCAGAAGCCATACTAGGGTCCTACTAAAGGAGAACTCCGCTGTACAGTCTGAATGCTTCCTCTCCCATCCACAGACATCCCACGCGGTCCGGTCTCCTCCTGTAGCAGGAAGTGACACGTGCGGGGGAAGGCGTACAGCGAGTGTTAACCCCTTGCTGCACTAAACAGGGGCTCTGCCCTAACTTGGCTCTAGTATGTGTATGTATAGATGTGAGTTAGGGACGTTAGATTGTACGCTCCTCGGGGGCGGGGCCTGATGTGAATGTACAATATATATGTACAGTGCTGTGTAATTTGATGGCTCTATAAGTACAGGTGTACCATAGTTTACGGACGGTTAACATCATTTTTGGTTTAAGAATGAAAATCCTTTGAGAATAAAATACACATTTTTTTTGTAATACGAACGGATGAATCGGTTTTCAATGCATTTACAAATAAATTTTTAATGATGTCCCTGGACAGTATTTATGCCTTTAAAGTGCACTTTATAAGAGTTTTGAACAGAGAAAAGACATTTTTTGTACTTTTTTCTGACCTCCAGAACGGATTAATTGGTTTTCAATGCATTCCTATTAGAAACCGCATTTCAGTTTACAAATTTTTTGCAATATGAAACGTCCCGGAGAACGCATTAAATTCATAAACTGAGGTGCGCCTGAACCTGTAATACTAATAATAATTTAGCCGGTGCCGTGGAGATGCGGCTCCGCTCCAAGGGAGTATGTTTAATGTGGTATAAAGACAGAGCCGGCAGCTCGATGACGTCTTCACGGACAGTCTTAGTACATCACCGACATAATGTGATCCATAAATCCGACGCGTTTTGGCAAAGAGATGCTTTGAGGAAGGCTTTGGCCGAAACGCGTCAGGTTATGGATCACATTATGTCCGTGATGTACTAAGACTGTCCATGAAGAAGTGTCTGGATCTGTCTTGATACATTCCTCAGCGAGCGTTGCAGCCGGAGCACCGCCCCCCCCCCCCCCCCACTCTCCTCCTACCAATACAGGAGCTTGGGGGAGCCGTCAGGATTGTAGTTTTCATTTTCCTGGAGCTCAGTTTTAATGGGCGTTTCAATTTGGGAAACTTCCTCTCACTTTGGGCCCTTTCACACGGAGCGGACCCGTCAGCGGAACCGCTTGCTCTTCGGGGGATCTCTCTGCTGATCCCCGCTGAGCAAGCGGATGACAGGTCCTTGTCCGCTCCGCTGCTGCAGAGCAGACACGGGCACAGCCTGCTGTCCTCTATGCGGTCAGATGGACGGTCTGATCCCCATCCGTGTCTTTTTGTCGGATTGGATCGGATTGGATGTCAGCGGGTGTGTGAACGGACATTGCTCCATAGAGGAGAACAGAGGTTCCGATCGGGTCTGCCTGAAATACGGGAGGCGGACCCAATCAGAACGTTGTGTTAAAGGGACCTTTCTGTCCAGGTGACGGATCAGAGAAGCTGGGAAATGCAACTCCTGCAGGGAGGTGGCATTTCCTTCACAGCGAACTAAGGCTCCTGTGCAGCACCGCGCCGCCCCGCCAGCAATGAAGGACACAGGAATGCAAGGCTAGGCTGCAGATCAGTCACTCATCTAAGGGAACTACAAGGGGCTACAGGTAGCCTAGGTTAGGGGGGCTTGATCCAGACACCCCCACTTTGCCCTTAACCACTTCCTGACCGCATTATAGCAGAACTACTGCCAGGGCTGCGCAAAATCATTTATATATATATATGTGAATTTACATTTCCTGGTAGGGGGTGCACATGCCGCCCTACCTGCGCTGCCATTGGTGGATACAGCTGTCAATAACTGGGTCCCGGCCAGAGATTCCCCACCGGCACCCGGCGATCGCCGAGAAACAGTGACAGGGGAGAGGTCTGTATATAAACAACACAGGTCTCTCCCGTCAGCTCCGGCATGCTACTTTGTATGGCTCTGCATAGCAGCATGCGTACAGTGAAATACACAAAACACACAGGTAACCCTTTGTTCGCCCCCCACATTAACCCCTTCCTGCTCAGTTCCATTAGTACAGTGTCCGGGCTTTTTATTAGCACTGATCACTGTATTGGTGTCACTGGGGATGTCAGTGACACCGTCAGTCCCCCCCCCCCAATGTCAGAATGCCCGCCGCAGTCGCGCTATAAGTCACTGATCGCTGCCATTACTAGTATAATAAAATTTAAATCCCCATATCTATCCCGCCATTTATAGACGCGATAACTTTTATGTAAACCAATTAATTTACACGTATTGGGTTTTTTTTAGCGAAGACACGGAGCGGGAGACATTTTTGCCGAAATTTATGATGAAATTTGATTTTTAAAAAATTTTTACTGGACGTGTTTTATAGCAAAAAGTAAAAAATATTGTTTTTTTTCTTTTTCAAAATTGTTGGTCTTTTTGTGTTTATAGCGCAAAAATTTAAAAAACCGCAGAGGGGATCAAATACCACCGAAAGAAAGCTCAATGAGGGGAAAAAAGGACGGAAATTTCATGTGGGTGCAGCGTTGCATGACCGCGCAATTGTCAGTTAAAGTAACGCAGTGCCGCAGCGCAAACATTGGCCCTGGTGGGGGGGGGGGGGGAATCCTCTGGGGGGGGGGGGATTCTCCGGAGGGGGAGGGGTTAATGGCTGTCAAAGCACTGCAAGAACACCTGAGAAGTTGTGACCCTTCTTTGCAGCAACACTTTGTCTGGATTTTGGGTTTTATATTCAGAAATTGCGAGATATATATATATATATTACGCTGGAATATTGCGCCATCTGTGCCGACATGTAAAGAATGCTGAATGAATGGAAAACTTTTTTTTTTACTTTCCTTGTTCATTCCCGGGATCACTGATTGGTCAGGCGTGGTCAGGGGTCAGGGGTCACTGTGCTCGGGGACTGGGAAGCCTGCACACTGGTAAAAGTTAACCAGGACTCGCCGTCACATGACCCACGGAGTACTAAGGTCCAAATTGTGACCCGGTCAGCTCTTCCGATGAGCGGATCCCGGCTGCAGCGAATCGAGCTGCACCTGCAGAGGAGACAGGTAACTGGCAGTGCTCTATAACTGGCAGCTGGTACTGCGGTGATCCTCCGGGAATAGCTGAGCGTTGTACATCCCACCCAGCATGGGAGTATTCCAGCAACGCGTTGTCATCTACAGGCAGGAAATGTCTCCTCTGGATGGACGCTGCCTGGAGCTCAGCCAGGGAAATGTCATTACAGATCGCTGTAGCGGACTAAAGTAGGCGCACTGAAGGCCTAGGAAACCAAGATATGTGGGACGGATAGGTATGGGGGGTGTACAGGACGGATCGGTATGGGGATGTACAGGACGGATCGGTATGGGGGATGTACAGGACGGATCGGTATGGGGGATGTACAGGACGGCTCGGTACGGGGGAGGTACAGGACGGCTCGGTACGGGGGAGGTACAGGACGG